TACATATTCAAATCAACCAAAACTCTATGTATATACGAGTAATAAACTACGAGTAATTGACAATAAATATCAAAGAGAGCATTCCTAACAGCAAGTAGTTGTTAGGTGAATAGGTGCTATAATTATTATATGCTGTACCAATAATTGATTTAACCCTATGTACAACATGGGATGATCCCAGGATTATTTCAAGAGATTATTAAAGAGGTGGCACTTTATTTATTTGTTTAAAATAAAAAAAGGAAAATGCAACAAGGTTAAGGGAGCTTTTCTCAAGGTTGAAACCAACCTTATCAAGAGAAAGAAAAGAAAAAGAAATATTTATGATCTAAGAATGGATCTATATTTTGGGTCTAATGAAGATGATCAATCACTGCTATGTAATCTGTAACGTTGCAAGATTAGCTTCTCTGTAGATATGGCGACAACAAACTCTTGATATCGTCCATGAGTAATATCATCCATATATGAGTATTATCTCTTTCAATGAAAATATCAGTAGTATTATGCTCAATGGCTAAAAGAACATTGCGAAGAGCCATAGCTTGAAGTACCAATAAAGGAAAGAAGAATATTGTTCTCTTGATATCGAATATCAACCCTAGCTAGCTGCACCAGGCCGGATTATTCAGGACTTCACCATCAAAATTATTATTATTGCAAGTGTAACATTATTAATTTTATGTGGTTGCAAATTTAGTTATATGTTAACATTCGATTCATTATTGTAGTTCACACTGCTATAAGAAATAATTAATGATCTATATATATGAAGATATATGATGTGTCACTTATGTAATCTCATTCATTTTGAACTTATCTTATTTGAAATTAGGAAAATTACTTTTCTTGATGGCCTCAAGTTATTGCACTATATTTTATTACTAGCTCTATTTCTCTACGCGCAGAATTTTAGGAGAATCGGTATAAAGTAATTAATAAAATATGAAAGAAGTGGGGTTGATGGAAAAATAAATTAAGTATGATAGTTGAGAGAGAAGAGAATATGAATATATTAAAGTATGACAGTTGGGGGATCCACTAGAAGAAAATAGTTAATAAAATATTGTGAAAGATTTCAAAAAAAGGAAATAATGAAGCAAGCAATAATATACGACCGCAAAAGAAAAGTAGAGCCACCACCCATAACCACCAAATAATTAACCCCACCTTGAATCCACCCCACCCCATCCCAAACCACCCCCACCAACCCAAAAATGACCCACCTCACCCACACCTACTTAAAACAACTCACCCTTACCTAAAAGGTAGTAAAATTTCTATTTAACTCTAAAACTAACCATAAGGCACCAAAATTTGGCCATTAAACAAATACAAGGGCACATTGAAAATATATACAAAATTAAGGGTTCATCTTAGAATATGCCCAAAAGATATTTTTCCATCGTATAGAATTGAATGTGAAACAATTAGAGGTCACCATGTATAATCCTTCATTCAAATTATTTTCCCTTAATCTTATTTGATGTGAACTTATCAACCCTTATCTTATATGAATTAGTATGACCAATTGACTAAATCGGTAATAATAAAATAAAAAAAAAAAAAAAAAAAAACACCTTAGCGACAATTTGGTAAAAAAAAAAGATAACCACTTACGACAATTATGGTGAAAATTATAAACTCACAAGCGACATTTAGACCAAAAATTCAATTTTTTTTTCCCCGACAAACTCTTCAGAATACCTTTTTTTAATTTGTTTTCGTGTTTTTAAAATTTATCTTCCCATTGAAACTTTGCAATAATATTTCATACCATTTTATTTTTTACCTTTTTTAAAAAAAAATTCCTTAATAAGGGATTGGAAAATTAAGTGAAATTAATATTTAAACTATTTTCTTCAACTTTTCATTTCTCTAAAAATAATTGGAAAAATAAAAAGGAGAAATTTATATTAAAAAAAATAAATAAATAAACACCATGAAAACGAATTAAAAAAAAAAGAAAAAGAAAAACATTCATGAGTAGTTTGCTAGAATCTATAACTAATACTAAACTAGCAACCGTTGATGTCATCTTTTTCCAACGTTGTACACATGGTGCTACCTCATGAAAAAATTTTCCGCTCAAATGTTAAGCCCATCTATCTATATACTTAAACTATATTAGAGTCTTTTTGGAGGGAATTTCCCCTCCTAAACTCTAATTTTTTTTTTTTTTTTCGTTTAGATTTTTGAAGAATTATTAATGTGTCTAGAAACTTTATACTTTAATTATTTATTATTATGATGGACTTTTAGATCACATTTTTCATGAGACTTCTATATTTAATTTCAATTACCATCATTAAAAATCGAGCATAGCTCGGGTATTATCTAGTATTATAATAATATCATTCCAAATCTTTTATATTATATTTATGACAAATATATTCCTTTTTATTTGGTGTTCATAATTCTTCCACACGCATTTACCTAAAATATTATTCCAACTCCTTTTTGATTATCTGATAAAACATAGTTATATTAGATTTTGCCAAAAATGTAATACTCCGTGATAAAATTGATTCATATTGTATATTTTTTTTATTTGATGCAAAATTGATTCATATTATTGATATTAAAGAAGTTACTTTAAAGCATCACTTTTATTTGTTAGATATAATTATTTTTTTTAAAAAAAAAATAGACTTATCGTGCATGGCATGGGGCCTAAGCTTAATTAGCCGAAATACCTTGCATTATTATCTTATTATACCTTATTTTATTTAAAGTGTTATTTTATTAACCCTTATATGAAGTACTTTGCATTATAATCTTGTTGTATTATATTATTTGAATTTATTAAACCTTATATAGGTGAAAATAGGAAATCAATGCTGAAGGGGATAAGCTAGATAACATTGAATTTTCGAAGGATCGACACCTCTACATTTGCATAATATATACGAAGTATATATATTAGGTCTAAATTTTGCTGTCAGCTAATTAGTCAATTTACGTTACTTGTCACCAAAATTAATGTCATGATTAAGATGCCTAACTAAACTATGAAAATTCATTTAATTTATGAAATGGAAAGCTAGCTCACGAGCTTACCTAAATTTAGTTAACCATTATTTCTTTCATTTAACAAATAATTAAACTAATTACTACTACCTTCATTAAAGAATAACAATAATTGACTCAGTTTTCCTGTAAAAAAAATACTCAGTTTGACTTTGTTTTAAAGTTTATTTTATGAGCATTTCTACGAACAATTTATATGCAAAATCAATTTTCTTGTGTACGCACCAAGTCCAAAAGAACAGAACCTTAGTTAATTGGTACATATACATGTTTTACATGTTTAAGTTTTTGAGTGATTGTATTAATATAGTAATAATTATGTTAGAGTTATAAGTACTATGTGTTTAAGTACCATTTTGTAAAATAAGTCAATGTTATGTGTACAATACAATTAGTGAAATACTCCCAAATAGCATGGGATGGTTAGGTATTCAGGGAACTGCTATCCTCAACGATGCCCTATTCTTCAAACAAGCAATGTCCTTTCAAAAAAGGGTATGCATGGATAATTGGTAATGGGACGAACATTAAGGCTATTAGCATGCCTTGGCTACGAGGTGAAATTCCAGTTGCAAACTCAAGCCAAACATTGGGACCCTCGTTGAATTGGAAAGTAAGTGATTTCATTGACTTTAGTACCTCTACTTGGAAAGCGGGGAAGGTAAGGGAGTGTTTCGATTGGAAAAGTGCAAAGGCTATCTTGTCTATGGAGCTTCCTCCCAGGTTAGATGATGATTATCTATACTGGAAGTATCACACCTCGGGTAGATACACTGTGAAAAGAGGATTCTATTTCCTTTCCAAGGAGCAAGGATTGGAAAGGACGTACTACACTATCTACTATAGAACAAGACTTTGTGAAGCTAATCTGGAGGTTAAACATTCAGCCAAAATGGAAGTTGTTCTTGTGGCGGCTCTTTCATGATGGTATTGCAGTTAAGGTAAACTTAGCTATTAGAGGAATACATATTGATGAAACTTGTGACTATTGTGGGGTGGAAATGGAAGATAGCCAACACCTCTTTCGTTTGTGTAATCTAGCAAAGGAAGTCTGGGAGAATGGCTCCCTGACTTTTGCTCTGAGTCTCCTGGGTTCAATTTGATAAATATGTGGATCCAACATAATATTCTGCTCGTTTATAGCAAGGATGGCAAACATATTAATCGTATCATCAAGTTCATAGCAAATTTATGGGGGTTGTGGAAGACTAGAAATGAGAGGAACTTCAATGGTGCGGGGGGGGGGGTGTGGGGTGCAAGTTTAGCTACGGAATTTTTTAACAGGACTATGCAAGACCATGATATCTTCACACGTACATCAGTGCAAGAGACTAATATTGCCGGTGAAACCAGGGATGAACCTAGTCACCCACCTGGTTTTTACAACGTGCAATTAGGAAGAGATAAGGGTGATTATGACAGTTTCATTGTGCAGGTCGATGGAGCATGGGATAGAGTACTACAAGGGCAAGTATTGGTTGGGCAGTCATAGGTAAAGAGCAAGCTAACACCGTCGAGGGAGGAGGAAGCCATGGAGCTGCTTCTTCAGCACTACAATGTGAGGCATGGGCGTGGCTTGAAGCGCTAAGATGGGCTAAAGCAAAAGGAAAGCAAGGGGTTCTAATCCTTTCTGACTCGGTGGCACTCGTCAACAACCTTCAAGACAGTCTTGGTAAGGATGTTTCGATTGCTTAGACAATTAAGGAGATAAAGGAATTGGGGCCGACATTCCAGAGATGTGCAATTATAAAGGTTTAGAGATATCAGGTTCAAAGGGCACATGATGTTGCAATACAATGTCGTATTACCCTCACTAATTACATGTATAGTAATTAGTATGGTTTTTCTTTTTTGCTATTGTCACACAAAAAAAAAAAAAAAAAAAAAAAAAAAAGATTATGTGCACTAGAATGATTTACGTAGCACAATTTATTGGCGTGATAGCGAGGGCATGGTATTTGTGATTCTGATAACGCATGACTCGCATATAAATATATGCAACTATAAGTTGCATTGATAGTTAATATCTATAATCATATATCACAAAGAATTTCTAGATATGGAAAAGAATTTGAAAGTAAAGACCAAAGCCAACTTAGAGAAAACAAGCTCTAAGCTAGATGAGTTAGAGCCCGCGAGTCCAACATCAGAATACTTCTTGAGTGAGGTTGCAACAGTTTATATTCTTTCCATTTTCGAATTAGAGATCCCTATTGATACTTCATGCGTCTATGCTTTCTTCAACGGCGTTTTTCTCAACAGTCATCCCCGTTTTTCCTGTATTCCGGTAATACTCCTACTTTATCTCTCTCCCTCTGTCCCTCACGTACCATAACCACTATCATTTTTGAATCTTATTTACTCGTAAAATTGCTTCTGTCTGGATTAAGTTGTCACCGCTACAGTTTAAGTTAGACTATGAACGTACAGTAATAAATGTGTATATGATCTAGGTTTATGCTTTTTCCATTTGCATATCCCATGTGAGTCTGTGTCGTGTCTAAGATTTTGATATTGTCATTAAAAACAACGTCAACAATAAAGTTGTACTATATCTAGAGCTTAAGTCACATGAAAAGAAAATAATCATACACTTAATCTAACAAATGTTCTTGATTGCACAATATATACTCGTGTGTGTATACAGATTAAAGGGGAAAAAGGAAGAAATATGTGGAAGAAAGTGGAAGTAAATGTTGAAGATCATATTATAAAAGGCCCAATTTTGCCAGAAGGTCTAACAACAGAAATTTATAGTAAGCATTTAGATGATTACATGTCCAAAATAGCTACAACACCATTTCAACTAAACAAACCTTTGTGGGAAGTTCACACTTTCAACTACCCTACAAACAATGCAACTTCAACTTTGTTTGTTAAGTTTCACCATGCTGTTGGTGATGGCATCTCCCTCATGGGAGTTGTCTTCACCTGCCTTCGGAGAGTCGATGATCCTACGCTTCCTCTCACTTTCCCTACAAAAACTAGCAATAATACTTCAAGAGAAAAACAAAGGGCTATTCATAATGTGATGAAAACCTTAAGCGTTGTGCCTAGGTTTCTATCCTCTATTTTTACTTCGGTCTATGATTTTGGACAAACTCTTGGGGTGGTGTTGTTTGAAGACGAGTGTACTCCGATTAGGTCCGGGAATACCAACATGCTTCTTCCAAGCTTGGCCCGAGTTTGTTCGGTCACTCTACCTCTCAGTGATGTCAAGAGAATCAAATCACTTCTTAGAGCAGTAAGACAATTGCGTTAAAACCTTTGATTATGCATGTTTAATAATTTCTACATTCCAAAAAAAAATTTACATGCATGTAATATGGATCAATACATATCCATTTACTACTAACATACTTTAACATCTTTAATGTATCTTGTACACAACTACACAAGTAATACAGTGGGTGTATTGTATACAACAAAGTTAGTCACCTCGAATCATAATTGTATAAGTTAACTTTTGTATCCTTTTTTATTTACAGACTGTCAATGATGTTATTATTGGTATAATCTCTTTTGCAACTCAATTGTATATCCAAGAAATAGACCAACGACGATCAAACAACAGCGGCATGACGGCATCAATAGCCCTCAATACAAGGAGTATCAAGGGATATGCAAATCCGGAAAAGATGCGCAAGGGAAAAACATGGGGAAATAGAATTTCAGTGATTGAACTATCACTACCAAAATATAAAGAGGAAGATCTTAAAAATCCACTAAATTTCATCATGAAAGTCCAAAAACTTATGAAGAGAAAAAGGAAAAGCATTGGTGCCATCTATCTCACGGCTTGGACCCTTGATGCTATAAAGATATTCGGAGGCTTTAAGGTTCGTTATTAGTATATATATGCATCGATCTACATTATATTCCGATTACAGTTGGATGTTACACATTCATTCTTTGTCCCGTTTTAGACCTTCAACATTTTGCTTCTTTTTTGTTCCAAAATCATAAATAGATTGTTGCATTATTAATTATATATTGACTTCGTCCTCAAATTATGTCCTCAGATCTTAGCTTAGAAATTGACAAGTGAGCCACAGGGGCAACACAAATTACAAATGGGGGTTCAGAAATTTTACCATGTAATATATTATACACATGCCCTCAATCTCGTAGTTAGCAGACATTTTAAGAGAATATGAAAAATAAATACAGTATTGAACATATGTAGCTTCACAACTCGAAATTTGACTGTGTTGGGCTAAATTGGCTTGAATCTTAGCTTAGGCTTTGGCCGCTCCAATTTGATTTTTTTGGGGGGTGGGGTAGGGGGTGGTTTTGGGCTTTCTACTCTTTAGTTATACTTTTGGCCCGGAATGAATTATAGCCCAAATGTCCCGTTTATTTTTGGCCCAAAATAGCGGATTTTGGACATAAATTTTTGGTCCAAACTTGGGCCATCTTGGTCCGAAGATTTAGCCCAACAACTATTTTGCCAAGGTCCGTCCTAGCCCATGCATGATCAAGTCTAAATCTATCTTAATTTTTTTTTTCTTAAATTGCCCCATTTTGGCTTTTCACATGTGTCAATAAATGTGAAAATTTAACCGCTAATATTTCTAATTGACAATAATAAGTATAAAAATAGAAATTTAGAGGCTATACTTTGAGCTAGTTCTAACTAAAATTGAACAAATCCAATCCCGCTATAAAGGTAATTAATACACTCAAACAATATAGTAAATTAAAATTAATTACAAAATTTTAAACAAATCAAAATGAGGTCTAGTTGGGAAATATTAAATTTCTAAAATTATTTTGTTATTAGTTTTGTGCACCGTTGATGACTTAGGTAGGTAGTTAATTGGATTTTAAAATTAATCTTTTAGCTTGAATGACAAATCTTAACACATATCATTTATTTAAATCATTTATTTGTAGAGGCATGTCTCTTTTGATGTAGGACATTGATATTTTGACATTAGACATCATTTATATAAGAACAATATATACCATAGAAATATACTCCATAGTTGATAAACAATGGTGTATTCTACGTAGTTTTATTAGTATATTTATGTTATTTTAATTGTTACTCATGAATCAATGATCCCTTAGTAATTATATGTATGCAGCAAGAAATTTATATCATCATTCTTCTTACAAGTTTATAGTAGTTTTGGATCTAGAAACTATAAATTACAATATAACAATCATATTTTTAATCGATTAAATCTCATAAATGGATCTTTTTTTAAAATACTTTTAAAGATATATAATAAAATTCCTTCCATTTTTAAATGTTTGTATGTCCTATTTGCATTTCGCACATAATTTTCAACACAATATTTTGAAACTAAAAATTAAAACAAATCTAAAAAGACTCCACATAGCTTTGTTTTGAAATTAAAAAAAAAAAAAAAAAGTGTGATTATTAAATTCCAATTTTCATAAAATTCCTCAATTCAAGATTTCAAATGAGACAAATATTTGGAGAGGGTGCGAGTACAATTATAAGAAATTATTTGAAAATAATAATTTATTCTTACATATGAACCAAGCCCCACTTTTTCAACTTTTATTTATTTTTAATCGAGCAAACTTTACTATCATCATTTTTTAGTTGCACATTGTTACAATTATCAACAACCTTATTTTCATTTAATTTTTAAGACTCTGTCCTCATCACCTTAGGCCATATTAACTTCACCTTAAAAAAAAATATACAATTTATATACTTAATATTTATAATTACACATTGAGCTGAATCTAACAAGCTAGATCCCACGTGACAATATTTACTTTCAAATAGAAAAAACCAAATACTTATACTCAAAGTAGATAGCTAGCTAGTATTAAAAAATATTGCAAAATTCAATGTGTTAAAATTCAATTGTTGCAAGTATTAACTATGAGTATATATGACATATGAAAGGAACTATGCCCTCCGTCTTCAAAGTTCTACTCACTTGTATTTTATGCGGTCTCTAATGCACAACTTTGACTATTAATATCTTTGATTGTGTATTATATTAGTAAAAATTACGCAAAGTTAATATATTAAAAATTAATGATAATACGAATCTAATAAAATCCAACATGATAATGGTTTTCTTGTGTGTACACAATTAAGACATGGTTAAAATTTCAAAAGTTCAACTTTGTGAATAGTAATTGGGTAGAACTCAAAAAAACGGAGGTAATAATTAACTTCAAGTAAGTTGAAAGGAACTAACTTTTGGTAAATTTTATTATAGCATATGCATAGTACTGTAATCTGTGCCGAGCATTTGTTAGTTTAATGGAGTTTACCATTGACTTTTTTTTTAACAATCTGCCGTTGACTTTAAATATGTTCACTGTTAGGAAATAAACTAAACTTATTGATAGAGTATAAAACATATTTCTAGGTCTCTACCATCTACTATAATCTGTGCCGAGCATTTGTTAGTTTAATGGAGTTTACCATTGACTTTTTTTTAACAATCTGCCGTTGACTTTAAATATGTTCACTGTTAGGAAATAAACTAAACTTATTGATAAAGTATAAAACATATTTCTAGGTCTCTACCATCTACTTAAGCTTTTGGTTAAATTAGTCCTTTAACATGGTATTAAGAGCGAGCGTGATACAAAGGTCACGGGTTTGAATCTCATCCACCCCTCCTTTTAAAATGGAATATTTCGCGCAGGGTATGAGGGAGACCGATACTGCATCCACATTTCAAGTCCAAAAAGGCTCTGATGTGAGGGGGCGTGATAGTGGACCTCTACCATCAGTTTAAGCTTTTAGTTAAGTTGGTCCTTTAACACTTACCAAATACCAACAAGATTTGCTAGGGAAAAGATATGATGTATCTTTTATTTATTTCTATCTTTTATGCTTTCCTATTTTGATAAGGATTGTAATTAGGAAACTTAGATAGATTTTAGAAATATAATCAATCTAGGATTATTTAGGCTTGACCGGAGCAAGTAAAATATCCTAATTGATGTGGGTTTCTTGGTTAGCCTATATAAGAGGGCTTAGGTTTACTAGAAAATTATGATGGTTAAATTGATGATTTATTGAGGTGAAAAATCATCAAGAGGGTTATTGTCTTATTTTGTAGGAACTTTATAAAACAATATTTTGTTTGAGGGGAAGAAATCTAAATTTCCTCATAAACACTTGTCTCTTTTATTATCGTGTTTTTGCTGTTTATTATACATTGTGTTAGAAGGTGAGTTCTCAAATCGTTTCATGCACACTTTCGTTATGCCAAATTGGTATCAAGAGCTAGATTGAGGCATGGAAGATTTTGGGAACAAATACAAAGTAGAATTATTTAACGATAAGACAAATTTTTTGTTATGGCAAAGTACGTTGAAGGATATTCTTATACATCAAGGTCTTCACAAAACCTTGGAGGATAAGAAACCCGATGCGGTGGAGAAGGACAAGTGGGAGGATATGCAACTTCGAGCTACTAGTACAATTCGATTGGCTCTTGCTCCAGAGATCAAGTACAACGTCTTGTAGGATACGAATCCGGAAGATTTGTGGGAGAATTTGACAAAGATGTACGCATCCAAGTCACTAGCAAACAAGTTGTTCTTGAAGAAAGATCTCTATTCACTCGAGATGGAGGAAGGTGGCTCACTACAAGATCACCTAAATAAGTTTAATGGCTTGATCACCTAATTAACGAGTTTAGATGTGAAAATCGAGGAAGAAGACAAGGCAATTATATTGTTGACATCTCTCCCTAAAAAGTATAATTATGTTATAGATAGTTTGCTTGTAGGGAAGACAACTATTGCTTTGGACGATACCATGGTGGCCTTATCGAGGCGGAGAGATTTATAAAGCAAGAAGGATCGTCAATCAATAGTGAGGGATTGGTAGCTAAATCAAGTGGTGGAAAAAATTGGAAAGGCAAGAAGGTGATCAATCCTAACATCAAGTGTTGGTATTGTGAAGAAGTGGGACACATTCAAACAAGGTGTTCTAAGTACAAGGAGGACTTGAAGACGTTGAAGAATGTTAGGGGTGGGATCGCTACTATTGCAGTAGATGATGATTATTGATAGATTATAAAACATAATCCTGGACCTCAACCATCAGCTTAAGCTTTTGGTTGAGTTGGTCCTTTAACATAGTATCAAAGCCAACGTGACATAAAGGTCACGGGTTCGAATCTCATCCACCCCCACCTTTAAGTGAAATATTAAGCGTTGGGTATGAGGAGGGCCCATGTTGCATTCACACTTCAAGCCTAATGGGCTCTCGTGTGAGGGGGTGTGATAAAGTATAAAACATAATCTTGTGCTTCAACCATCAGCTTAAGCTTTTGGTTGAGTTGGTTAGTTTAAGCTGATGGTTAAGGCCCAAGATTATGTTTTATACTCTATCAATTATGATGTGGCACTATAGAGGAACAAGGTTCATTGGTATATGTGGATGTTTGGTAAGTTGAGTTTAAGGGAAGGTTTGTTAAGAAATAAACTAAACTTACCAAATACCAACGAGATTTGTTAGGGAAAAAGATATATTTAGGCTTGGGAAGCAAGTAAAATATCCTAATTGATTATGATAGTTGAATTGATGATTTATTGAGGAGGAAAATCATCAAGAGGGTTATTGTCTTATTTAGTAGGAACTTAATAAAACAATATTTTGTTTGAGGGGAGGAAATCTAAATTTCTTTATAAACACTTGTCTCTTTTATTATCGTGTTTTTGCTATTTATTTTCCATGCACACTTCCGTTATAACATTCACGATTATTTGTATATTTTATATACACGTATTTTCGGGTTTTTTTTTATTATTTAGACGGCTTTGTGAATATGTGATTATATATAAATAACATACTTTATTGTTTTGAAATAGAACTATATTAAGATATTCATGCAAGGCTAGCTCTTGCAGGCAGCAGCTCGGGCCTTTGAAAAAAGCTGGAAAAATTCAACCTTTGCAATCACGAATTTGATTGGTCCAACTCAGCACGCCAGTATCGCTGATCATCCCATCAAAGGCTTTTACTTCGTACCAACTAGATTGAACTTGGTTAGATTCATCTTTATTTTCTTCTTCAATTTCATAATGTTCAAACAAAATACTCCACATAAATTTTAGGTTAAATTATTATCCTATTCGTCCCTTATACAAGTAGTAGTCTTTTAAATATCTTATCCTCGTATATACCTTCCTATCATTACTACTCCATCGACCATCAGTATATATGTTCAACACATTTATTACAAAGTTATCTCTCTCTCAGAACTTAATTAATTTAAGTCCTTTAATCTACTATCGGTATATATGACACCATTGTCAGATCAATATGCTTAATTTACTAGAGGTTTTCATCTATTGTCGATTGGTTTAGTATGTGGTATGTGGTCACATTCTAATACAAACACTTTTTTTTTTTCCTTCTTTTTTGAAGGGATAATACAAACACTTAATAGGACGTTAATTTTTGTAACGTCTATCAATTATCAACAAAAGATTTACAAATGTCGTCAATATTGCTATTGCAGAGTTTAACAGTTTCAGTGATGAGTTACATGGATAATCTAAGAATTGGTTTAGTAGTTGAGAACGGCTTCATCGATCACCAAAGATTAATCACTTGCATGGAAAATGCCTATCAATTAATTCTCCAAGCTGCCACTTCTTCTACAAAACCTACTGCACGGTAAAATAATTCGATTTTTACAGATTTTACCACATATATATATATATATATATATATATATGCTACATGAGAGAAGATTCGTTGTACGGTCATACCACATGATTATTGGATCAAGGCTCAAACTCTACCAACTTGGGTGGTCCGATAGACGCCAAAGTGTACAAACAAGCCCGTCTAGCTCAGTTGGTAGAGCGCAAGGCTCTTAACCTTGTGGTCGTGGGTTCGAGCCCCACGGTGGGCGTTAATAATTTGTTGTACTTTTGTTTCTCCTTGTGATGATAAGAAAAGTACTAGTACAACTATTGCCAATTGGTTTACCTTTACTATATTATCAAGTTTTCAATATCATTGCACTTGACAATTATACTTAAAAGCGGTGATTGGGCTAGCAAATCGGTTACTTAGTCAAAATTTAGGAATCAAATTTTGAGTTGGTTTTCTGAAAATTTGAAAACTTGAATTGAAATAGTTCCTAAAATTTTGGAACCGCCATGTATTATATTGCATGGTTTCGGTTTTAATTACTCGATTATATTTTGCTTACCCCCAGTAATTACAAGTTTTAATCCAAGGTGAAACTTGGTGCGTGTATAATTTGAAAGGCACAATCAAGTATATAACAACAACAAAGAAAAGAGAAGTATCCTTCCTTAATACGGAGTACTTCGTATTTAATCATCCTTATCTATATGGGCATCGACCCTCTCACATATGATGGACCACACGGTCCTTCTTCGGTTCTCCCTAACCAAAAGCAACTCTCTTGCCATCTTGCATGGACCACGATCCTCCCTACCCAAAAGTTAGGGGATGGAAAAGAATGCTTTCTCAAAATTAAAAGAGAAGATTAAGGATTAGCATAGTTTGCTAATGTATAACGAGTTTTAAAATTTTAAAGTATATGCTCTTGGTTTATATGCCAAAGGGACAATTGATAGAGGCATATTAAAAATAATCGATCAAAAATGTTAATTAAGGATAAATTAATAATTGCTACCAGAAAAATGGTAGCTATTACAGTATAGGAACGAAATTTACACCCTTAATTGTTTATTTGTTTGTAATGTAACATTAAATATATATGATGACAAAAACTACTCAACAAAGTAAATATTTCCTTTACTATATGATATTCCTTATACCACTATAAAAGTATAAAAGAAACTACTATGGAAGCTTCAATTGATTACTCTCTACAACTTATTATTCTAGCCAAGCAACGAACCCACTTAAATAAAATCCATTAATTAAATAGAAAACAATTCATGGATTGTTAATTTTGCCTTGAAATCAACGAATATCAAATACTGATGAGTCGACTTCAAATGCACAACCCTCTAAATTTACAAATAATTTTAAGGTGAATGAAATTAGAGGTGAAACTTTGTCTTAGTAGCTTTCCAACAACTGATCATATACATGCTCATTTATATTTTCATAAATAAATGTTACCAATACAAAATAAGAGGTATTAATAGTCTAAGTTATACATATTGAAAATCGCACAAAATGTAAATGAGATGATAAAAAGGACGAAGGGGGATTAGCCCAAAAAAATCTCTCTTGCTTTTTCATGGAAGCGGGTATAATTTATGATCTTGAGAATAAGGATTCAAGATGGTTTTACGTTTTTAGGCCCTACTCTACTTACCTTATTTTTCTCACTTACTTTGCGAAAGTAAGTTCAAATAAGATAAGTTCCAAAAATATAAGTGCTCATTAGGGTTATACAATTTCAATTTATATGAACAAAACGAGCTCTTTGAAGGTTCAATGGGCACTCAAGAGGGGGGGGTGAATTGAGTGTTAAGTAATCGTTGGCTAATTTTGCTTCTTTTCGGATTATGTGTGAGGAACCAGTTGTGCTGGTTCCCGTACGCAGCGGAATATAAATAAGCAATAAAGAAGACAACAAATTTAACGAAATAAAACAAAGCAATAAAGAACACAACAAATTTAACGAGGTTCAGCCAACTCAGGCCTACGTCCTCCTATCCTAAGTTCTTTATTAATCTACTCCGAAAAACAAAGACAAAGAACACTCTGCTGTTCCCTACTCCGGGAACCAGCAAACCCCACACTCTACTCCGAGTGTGCTCTCGACTTACACTCGTAAGCCCAATGTGTTTGAACTCACAAACACTCACCCAGCCTTTAACCCCTTTGTTAAAGACTCAATACAAGAATCAAGAACTCTCCTTTGATCTCACTTCTACGAAGCTAATTAAGAGAAAAAGTTTAAGTACTAGAATGCTCTTGTATATGACTTGATGAATGGGATTAGTGCTTAAGTATATGCTCTCAAATAATTGCTCTTTTAATTTCTGGAGAAGCACACCAAATATGTGAAATAAGATGAGTTTATATAAGCTTAGATTCCTAAAACCTAGTTTCCTTAAATCACACAATCTTAGAGAATAAGATATAATGTAATTTTAGGAAAGTTTTTATCTTATTTGATTTAATCACAAAGATAGAATCAATTAAGATAAATACTCCTAGATTTTAGGTAACCAAGAATATTTCATCTTATTTCCAGCTGCACAAAATATTTTCAAAATAATCTTTTCGAAAAAATCTTTTTGTAAAATCTTTTTCCAAAACGGCAGCTCGAATACAGTGAACCTGGTTCCCCGACCTGGTTCCCTGAATTGAAACATGTTATGAAACCTGTTCCAACTTTGTACCAGATTTCATATCATACTTCAATATACTTTTAAGCACTTATATAACCCAAACATGTAAGCATACTACGGAGCATATTACATGAAAACCTAGATAACATATTAAAGCATAAATCGTCTTTTCTTCATGTAATCTTCAAGACTTGAATCTTCCTTGAATACTTCTATTATGAGCAAACAATCTTTCTTCGAAATATCTTCGAAAGGCTTCTATGCTCCAAGTCTTGGAATCAACTCAACTACTGCACATGTAACATGGTTAATGCACAATAAAGAGTATGTGACTGCTTTACCACGTAGCAACCATGGAAACAGTACATACTGGTTCCCTACCAGTACATAACACTTTTATCATATAACTGTTCCCTGTATAAAGACAAGTTAGTTCAATAAGAAAACTCATGTAAGTAATAACTTGTCTGGGGAAACAGTGTTCTATGTTAGCTGGTTCCCCCAACTGTATCGAACACTTTCAAGGACCTGTTTCCCTTAGCTGTTTGTCATCATTCAAAACTATCAATCAAAACCTAAGGGACTCAACACTCTTAATGCTTAAATTTAGGGAAAGAAGTATCTTGCCGGTGATCTAATCATACTCCATACTATTTTTTTTATTGATAATGTTAAAAATGTTAACCTCATCCATATTTTTTTGTTTTTAAAAAAAAAAATACGCTTTAATAATCACAACTATGGGCGATTTACTTTTAATAATCCCAACTAAGATATATTATCTAATAATCCTAATTATTGGGTCAGTTTGCCTTCAATGGTCTCAATTACCGGTGACCTGTTGAAAGAGTTTTTTTTTTTAGCCACGTGTCACGTGAATGGTCCATACAACCAGCAAGCAGCATTCGGCGGTGGGGGAAGGGAGGAAGGGCGGTATTGGCAGCGGAGGAAGCGAGGGCTTGGTTTCGAGTGGTTAATTAAGGAGGTTTCAGTGGTTTTGGGGGTCGGGATGGGCTGGGTTGGTGGTTTCGGGGGTCGGGGATGGGTGTTAGTGAGCCGGCCGACCGTTTTTCGGTGATTAAGGGAGTTGGTCGGCCGGTTTCCGGCGAGGTTAGGGGGTGTGTTAGGGTTCCGACGAGGTTAAGGGGTGGAGAGAGGGTGGGTGGAATTTTTTTTTTATATATTGATATTTTTTTATGGTATTAATTTTTATAAAATTTTCTAAAATTTTGGACAAATCACATGTTGACACGTGTCATGGTCACCTGTTATAACAGGTTATTGACTCGTCGTTGACCGGTTGGGACCATTGGAGGCAAACTTACCTAATAGTTGGGATTATTAACCTTAGTTGAGGATTATTAGAAGTAAATCGCCCATAGTTGGGATTATTAAAGTATAATTATTTTTTTTTCTTGTTTTTTTTTTTAAAAAATTGATTCTAATAATTCCATATTTAGCCGATTCACTGTTAATAGGGGATCTTCTTCCACTGGTCTCTTATAATCGGTAACCAGTATATTTGGTAAACTCTTTTTTTTTATTTTTTTATTTTTTTTATTTAAGTGACACGTGTTACTAAATAATTGGTCAAAACTTTTAAAAAAAAAAACCTATTTTCTTAAAAAAAAAGTCAGCCCACCCCCAACAACCACCCTAACCCCCCCACCCCCACCGTCCGGCAACCCCCCCCCCCCTCCCTACCCCCACCGCCAAAACCCCACCCCCACTCAGCAAAAATTGGAACCCTCCCCCTAAAAGTCTAAAACCACCCCGATTCCTACCCCCCACCCACTAAAACCACCCCCTCCCTTATTCCCCCACCCCGAAAACCACCCCCTCCCTTTTCCCCCCCACCCATGAAAACCACCCCCTCCCTTTTTTATTTTTTTTATTTATTTTAATTTTTTCTTAATTTTTCAACCAATCACAAAGAGACATGTGGCATTTTAATCTATCAAAACCGGTTATCAACATGTTAGGGACCAATAGAAGAAGATCCACTATAAAGGTGGGATTATTAAATAATAATCCAAATGTGAAATTATTAACAGCGAACCGGCCAAAGGTGGGATTATTAGAATCAATTTTTCCTTTTTTTTGTTGGAGTAAGGAGAACGACGACTCTACTAAATCAGAACCTCTTACAAGTAAGTAAACCAGTCTAGTTTTGCAGGTCAAGCTCTTGCATTGGAAAATGAGAGGGGGGTGCGTGGAAGGATAAAGGAACCCCTCCCCCAAGAATCGCAACTAATAGGGATCAAATCCATGACGTTTAAATCCTGATGTGAATTCCTACGAACGACACTAAGTACTACTTGGTTCATCCATATATATGGGATTTTGAAACATAAGAGTGGTAGATTTTGCACTTCCAATTATACTAATACTTCAAGTGTCAAATAAAAGGAAAGAAAAATATTCTTGATTCATAACTAAACCAATTAAACGCGTGTGGTATATTGGAATACTAGTAAAACTTTTAAGATTAGAATAAGAAAAACTAAATAAAAAGAATCACATATTTGAATAACATACTTTGAGATGTATCTAATCCTAGCATGATAATACTTTTTTTCCTCATATATTAGTGGCATATACCGTCAAGATATATAATCATCATAAACCAAACCAATAAAATTTTCAAATATGTATCATTTTATATCAAATGAATAGAATATATTTTCTCA